TTCTGTTTGTTGGGAGATTTTTTTATTACTGATTCACTTTCTTTGCTAGTTATCAGTCTGTTCAAAGTTGTTATTTCTTCCTGTTTCAGTTTTGGTAGTTTAGGCTTTATTGCTATCTCTTTTCCAGCTCCTTTAGGTATAAGATTAGGTTGTGTCTTTGAGATTTTCTTCCTTCTTAAAGTAGGCCTGTATTGCAGTATAATTCCCTCTTAGGACTACCTTTGCTGCTTCTGAAAGGTTTTGGACTCTTGTGTTTAATTTACATATGATTCCATATATTTTTAAATTTCTTCTTTAATTTTCTGGTTAACCCATTCAGTCTTCAGGAGGATGTTCTTTAATCTCCATGTATTGGTGGTCTTTCCAATTTCTTCTTGTGGTTGACTTCAAGTTTCATATCTTTGTGGTCTGATCTTAATCTTTTTGTACTGGTTGAGGCCTGCTTTGTGACCCAGTATGTGATCTATTCTGGAAAACAGCCCATGTACACTCGAAAAGAATGTGTATTCTGCCTTAGGATGAAATGTTCTGAATATATCTGCTAAATCCATCTGGTCCAGTGTGTCATTCAAATCCATTGTTTCCTTGTTGATTTTCTGTTTAGATAATAAGTCCATTGCTGCAAGGAGGGTGTTAAAGCACCCTACTATTATTGTGTTATCAATGTGTTTCTTCATGTTTGTTATTAATTGATTTATATACTTGAGTGCTCCCAAGCTGGGGGCATAAATATATATAATTGTTAGATCTTGTTGGACATACCCTTTCATTATGATATAGTGCCCTTCATCTCTTGTTACACTCTTTGGCTTAAAATCTAGTTTTTCTGATGTAAGTATGGCTACTCTGGCTTTTTTTTAAATGTCCATTACCATGATAAATATTACTTCATCCCCTCACTTTCATTTTTTTAAAAGATTTTATTTATTTATTCATGAGAGACATAGGCAGAGGGAGAAGCAGGCTTTCTGCAGGGAGCCCGATGTGGTACTCAATCCTAGGACCCCGGGATCATGACCTGAGTCAAAGGCAGATGCTCAACCACTGAGCCACACAGGTGCCCCTATCCCTTCACTTTCAATCTTCAGATGTCCTTAGGTGTAAAATGAGTTTCTTGTAGGCAGCATATAGAGGAGTCTTGGGTTTTTATATAAATTTATTTTTTATTGGTGTTCAATTTGCCAACATATAGAATAACACCCAGTGCTCATCCTGTCAAGTGCCCACCTCAGTGCCCATCACCCAGTCACCTCCACACCCCGCCCCCCCGGCCACCTCCCATTCCACCACCCCTAGTTTGTTTCCCAGAGTTAGGAGTCTTTCATGTTCTGTTTCCCTTTCTGATATTTCCCACTCATTTTTTCTCCTTTCCCCTTTATTCTCTTTCACTATTTTTTATATTCCCCAAATGAATGAGACCATATAATGTTTGTCCTTCTCCGAAGAGTCTTGTTTTTTTTTTAATTTATTCTGATACTTTATATATTCTGATTGGAGCATTTAGTCCATTTATTTTCAGAGTGATTATTGATAGATATGAATTTAGTGTCATTGTATTACTGTAAAGTCTATATTTCTGGAGATGTTCACTGTTCCTTTCTAGCCTTTGTTGCTTTTGGTCTTTCTTTCCCCCTCAAAGTCTCCTTTAATATTTCCTGCATGCTGGTTTAGTGGTCACAAACTCCTTTAGTTGTTGTTTTTCTGGAAAACTCATTATCTCTCCTTCTGTTCAGCCTTGCTGATAAAGTATGCTTGGCTGCAGATTTTTCCCATTTTGCGTGTTTAATATATCATGCCACTTTTTTTCTGGCCGGCCACATTTCTGCTGTGAACGTGATCTGTCTTCCGTTGTAGGTTAATGACCTTTGCTCCCTTGTGGCTTTAAGGATTCTTTCCTTATTTCTGTGTTTTCCTAATTTTACTACAAATATGTCTTGGTGTTGACCTGTTTTTGTTGATTTTAATGGGAGTTCTCTGTGTTTCCCAGATTTAGATGTCTGTTTCCTTCCTCAGATTAGGGAAATTTTCAGCTATAATTTGCTCAAGTAAACCTTCTGCCCTTTCCCCCCTCTCTTCTTCTGGAACACCTGTGATATGAATATTATTACATTTTATAGAGTCATTGAGTTTCCTAAGTCTACATTATTTTCAGCTTCATTATTTTCCATAATTCTATCTTCTATATCACTTATTCAATCCTCCACTTATTCTTCCATCCTTGTGGTCATTACATCCAGTTGGTTTTGCATCTCGGTTATAGTTTTAAAAAAATTAGCTTGGCTAGTGTTTAGGTCTTTTATCTCTGTGGTAAGGGACTCCCTGTTGTCTTCTATGCTTTTCTGAAGCCCAGCTAGTAATCTTATGATTGTTGTTTTAAATTCTAAATCAGACATATTACTTCCATATGTTGCTATTAGATCTCTGCTGTTAGATCTCTGTTGCTTTTAGATCTCTGTTTTTTCTTTTGGGATCAATTCTTCAACTTTGGCATTTCATCTAGGTCTCTGTCTTTTATGTGTAGGAAAGCCTGTTATATTTATTGCTCCTGAGAATATTGGCTTTATGACAAAGAGGTCCTATTCTGTCCAGATCCTGGTGCTTCAGGAATGTTTCTGGTATATGCTGTCTGCACTCTTTTGTTGTGTTTTAGCTGCTCTTTCCCTCAGATCAGTCCTCTGCAGAGTTTCCCTTTGCCTGCAGTGGGAGGTGTTTGAACATTGTCCACTGTATGGAAAGTTTTAACTAGTTGTATTTGGATTGCTTGTTAAAATGCTAGATCCTATTTCCCCTACATCTGAAGCTTTGCATCTCTCTGTGGTCAGTAGAGTTGGTGCCAATAGGGGGGATGTGCTGGTTTTCTGGGGGAGGGGCCTGCTGCTCTGATTCTCAGGTGGTCTTGCCCTAGTATAGCTGCACCTCCAGGGTGCAGTGGAGTGGTGCTTGGTGTAAGTGGCTTCAACTTCCACCAAAGGCACTGTATTTCTCACTAAAGTGGGTCAGTGCTCCTAGGTGGGGGTACAAATGGTGTTAGCCCACTCTCTTGTCCCCAGAGTGGGGCATTTGCATCTGCCACTATTCAGGAAGGCTTTACAGAAGAGCAACAATCTTCCCTCTTGTGTCCCTGACTTCTGTCAGAACCCTGCCTTCAGGGCATCCCAGGTGGCTCAGTGGTTTAGTGCCGCTTTTGGCCCAGGGCCTGATCCTGCAGATCCAGGATTGAGTCCCACATCGGGGTCCCTGCATAGAACCTGCTTCTCCTTCTGCCTGTGTCTCTGCCTCTCTCTCTCTCTCTTTCTGTGTGTGTGTGTGTGTGCGTCTCTCATGAATAAATAAATAAAATAAAAAAAAAAGAACACTGCCTTCACCCTATCTGTGTCTAGGTTGTCTGTCCACCTGGAAGGCCATGCTCCTGTGTTTTATCTCAGGCACATGGGCTGGGTTTTAAAACTCCAAATTTTAGGGATCTGGTGGGGCACAGACCGGTGCTGATCCTCTGAGGAGGGTCTCTGTGCACCAGGGCTGGTGCTGGTTTGTTCCTGAAGGCAGTTTCAAGAATGTGCAGGTATTTGGAGTTTAAAGTTCAGCAAAAAACTAGTGTCCAGGTTAGCTCCCCTCAGCAGGTGTCTCTACTCTTATGGGGCTCACTGGCTCATTTGTCCCCAGACAGGCCATGCCACCTCTCCCAAATGCACTCCAAGAAGGGGAACTATCTTTCCTATCTCACTCCCCGCTCCTGGGCCTCTATCCTTCTCCAAAGAAATGCCTCTACACCCACCAGGCTTTACCCTGGCAATCTCACAGACTTCTAAAATGTCAGACTTTGAGCTCTGCTGCTTGTAAAAACTTGCAATAATCAGCCCCTCTTGTTTTCCCCATCAATGATTTTGGGGAATTGTTTTTCTTATGCAATGCCCTGTGCCCTGTTCTCTTTCTCTCTCCTCTCTATCTGATCAGGGCTCCCTCTCCTCTACAGTCTCCATGACTTTTTTATCCCTCAAATCACATTTCTGAACCTCCTACCTTCCACGAGTGTCCTCTTCTCTCCCTCTAGTTATGCAGTTTGTTCTCTCAATCCCCAGATAGATTTATTAAGTGTTCAGAATGATTTGATGTTTATCTAGCTGTGTCAAGGGACAAGGCAAGCATAGGGTCACCCTACTACTCCACCACCGTAACTTCTCCCCCACCTAAGGGTTGTTATTCACCCTAACACATTTTGTTTTCTCCTTAGAGATTGCCCTTACTTCTTGTAAAACAAAATGAAATGGAAAATATTCTTTATGCAGGATCTAGTTATTTTGTTGTGGAAGGCCCTTCAGAGTATCTAGTCTGCCACACTATCAGAGGCAGAAGCCCCCATAAGTTTTTACACAGTTTTTGTAGCCTCCACTAGAAACCTGTGGACCCAGAGTCTCTGGTGTTATATGAATAAAGCTATATTTTAAAAACTACTTCTGAGGTGATTGTGACAATAAACCAGAGTTAAAATTTCTACCCCATAACTTTTTCATATCCAGCTAATGAGACATAATGAGAGGTCAGAGCTGACACACAGGAGGAGCCAGGTTCTGGTTCCTGGCGCAGTTCCTGGTAGCACATGCCTTTCCCTTCTCACTTACATAGTCCCCAGCAGCCTTCTTCCATTTATTAGTAACCTTAAGTCAGCCTTCTTATATGAACTTACATGTGAACAGAGACTTAACACTCTAGAATTAGAATGTTACCTACCTACCTAAATCCTGCTTGTCTTTTAAGAGCCTTGCAAAAAAGCCTTTTCTGGTTGAAAACTTTTATAATCCATCTCTACTAAGTATAAAAATATGATATCAGCTCTTTTCACATGTTTATAACTCTTGGAATATTGTGCAATATTTTCTCAACCAGTTGCTCTTCTAGGGTAGGGACCATGTCTAGTTCATTATCATGGCTCTGTAGCCCTAAGCCCATCATGTCTGAATGTGACACCTCCCCCTCTCATGTGACTGAAAGGGACACAGAGCTGAGTTGCTCAGGAAGGTTTTATTGCTGCTTTAGGATAGATGGGTCAATGGACAGATGGAAGAGATAAAAGTAGCTCTGAAAACCCCCACAAACTGAGGAGAATTTAGCACAAATGGATGACTGGCTCTGTGTCTTCCTGTTTATGAGATTATTTGCACAGTAGAGCAGATGAGAAAAGAGTTTAGGGTAGAAAGCACCTTGCAGAAATGTTATCATTGAGAAAGACCTAAGAGAGAAGCACCATGATTAAGAGCTGATATCAAGAGACATGCCAACTGGACTGGCCAGGGCCGGACAAGCCAACCCCTCTGCAGCTGTTTTCTTCTGGTACTGGGCATTGGAGTCTGGGCCTGGAACACTCATGGCTTGTTGCTTTTGAAGTAGGAATACAGCCCCTTGGCTGTGAGGCCTCGTTTCCCTTCTGACTGAGCTGCCTCCTGGCCCTGGGCTGTAGGTATACCAGTGCACAGACTGCCCCGGCCCTGCCTGGGAATCTCCATCTCCCTTGTGTGGTCACCTACACACTCCTGGGTAATCACTATGGGTTCTCTCTCTCCCTGCCCTCCTGTCACACTGCACCTTGGGTGAGTGCTGCTCCAGTCCTGTCTGCCTGTCAGAGTGCTTGCCACAGCCTGGGCCTGTTCTCCCAGCTTCCCCTCTCCTGCCTCGTAGTGGCTCACTTGTGTCCATCTGTGACTACTGCCTGACTGTCTCTGAGTCTGTCCCTCATCTCTATCCACTATATGCCTCGCAGTCTGGCTCCTGTCCTGCTCCGTGGCCTGTGCATGTCTCTGCGTTTGTGGCCCTGCCTTTGTCTGAATGTGTCCTCCTGTCACCATTTGACTTGTCTGGCTCCTATCTTGACCCTGGACCCCAGTCCCTCTGGTCTGGCCATGGGTAGACTCCTGTGATTGGGTGCTAGGGCTTCTTATCTGATAGTTCCTGCCCTGCTCCATGGCCTGGGTGGCCCCTCCCAGTGTCTGAACATGTTCTATCACTACCTGGCTTGTCTGGCTCCTGTCTTGACCCTGGACCCCAGTCCCTCTGGTCTGGCCATGGGTAGACTCCTGTGATTGGGTGCTAGGGCTTCTTATCTGATAGTTCCTGCCCTGCTCCATGGCCTGGGTGGCCCCTCCCAGTGTCTGAACATTTTCTATCACTACCTGGCTTGTCTGGCTCCTGTCTTGACCCTGGACCCCAGTCCCTCTGGTCTGGCCATGGGTAGACTCCTGTGATTGGGTGCTAGGGCTTCTTATCTGATGGCTCCTGTCCTGCTCCATAACCTGGGTCCCCTCTGTCTGTGTCACTGTATGGGTCACATCTGTCTGAGTTCTAGTTCCAGCTCCAGTCACTGGTTCACTTGTGTGTTGGGCTCTGTCCTGTTCCCTGGTCTGTGACTGTGTCTCTGACCTCCTCTGTCTGATCTGGTGACTCTTATCTTCTCCTAGTCTCTCAGTCTGCTGCACACGCCTCCCAGCTTCTGTCTGCTGGCTCTCCCTCTCTTGTTTCTGAGATTCAGACTGCCTGTCCTGGCCCCGGGTTTGAACCTCAGCCCCTGCCTGTCCTCTGGAGGCCTGTGTGCTCTGTCCATATTGGCTACTTTCGCGATGCTGTGCTTCCCTGGCTTGTCCCACCTCAGCTCTTCTGCTCTGTTCTTTCCCCAGCTCTTGTGAGGCTCCAGTGGGGAGACTTCCAGACTCTTGAGATCCACAAGCCCCTGTAGGACTCTCACTCAGTGTCTTGAAACAGGCTTGAGCAACTTTGAACACCAAGACCAGGAATTCCTTGAATTCCACAGTCCCTGTGTCATCCTCATCCAGCAGGCGTAGGACTTCATCCACAGTGGCAGGATCCCGGGGTTTCTGTGGAAAAGAGGCCAAGTCAGTATCCCTCCCCTGAGGAAGGTGTGGTTGGGCCACTGTGCTCAGCTTACAGGCTTTCCATACCCAAACTTGGGAGCCCAGCTGTGCTGGCCCCATGTCACACACCTGGCTACAGTAGCCTTAACACGAAATTGCTTTTATTGTGCAGTCTTGCCCCTCTTACAAGGGTAGAAAGCACTTTTTGTTTTATATCTCTGTGCCTAGCATACTTTCTGGCCTATAGAAGAACTGGATCAAGATTCAATGAAGAATGAATGAATGATTGAGCTCATAATGATTCTTTGGGCTGTCCTTGGCCCCTGGCCCTGAGCAGGATTCTCTCCAGCAAGCCCAACACCAGGAGAAGCATGACAGGAACATGACCAAGGGGATTCTGTGATCTTCACTAAAGCTCAGGTGTTTTTCCAAGATGGAGTGGGTGGGGTCTGGTGGGACAAGTTGTCTTGAATATGCATTCTGTTGTGTCTATCTATACATTCCTGTCCTTAAGACCATCATCCTAGTTGCTTTAGATGCAAACCAAAGGCAGGGAGAGACAGGGAAGTGCCTCAAGGCCCTGGGTCTGTTTTTGCTAGTGGTTGGGGGTGGGGTGGGAGAGCGGCTTCCAGAGTGTCCCCCCAGCTGATAATAACCAATCTGCCCTCTAAAACTCATTTCTGATGTGACCACTCAGCTGATATTTTTGAGCAACTGCATAACACAGAACTATGCTTCTAATGAATTCTTATTAATGGATGATCAAGTTTCTGATAGACATAGGAAGTAGTTACTGTATAAGATTTAAGAAGCAGCAGAAAGCAGCAATTACTTTCATTTCTAGAATATTCAAAGGCTCTGTCTCTCCCTGAGATGTCCCTTTTGAGTTCTTTCACCTTGTCTCCAAATTAGAATTAACTGAAGTCAAGATATTTTCTCTAAGGATAAGGCTTGTCAACTGCTGACTGTCTCTTGTTCCTTTGCCCTCCCTCTTTCTGCCTGCACAGCTGTCCAGGAGCCCCAGTGAGCCTGGATCTAGCAGCTGCCTCCTCAGATTCTTGAGGCAAAGCATCTGTAGGCAAATCTGTTTCCTCTCTCTGCTTTCCTGCCCTCCCCACCTGGTCAGGTATGTCATACCACAATGATATCAGCAAACTCGTGTTCCAGGAACCTTTTCAGCTCCCCTCGGGTGAGCACTGTGCAGCTGCCCTGGGTCCTGGCATAGTGCTGAAAGGCTTCGATGATTCCATGAATGTTTCCCAGTAGCTGAGGCATCTTTGGAGTCAAGCTGGAGAAAGAAACAAAGCCCCCATGGGGGCCTCCAAAATCAACTTCAGCATTTCCTCCTGCTTCTTCCAGGTCTCTTCTTGCATATACAGTTCTGCTTCCAGTCTCTATTGTCTGGGTCTTCCCTCCTCCTTTCCTACTTAACATATTTTATGAAGGAGAAGGAGGGGCACACCATGGTTAGGAGCAGGCCTCACCACCTACCTGTCAGGTGACCTCTGGCAGGTTGCTTTGCCTTTCCATGCCTCGGTTTACTCATTGTTAAATGAAGATAATATAGTATGTACTTGGTAGATTATTGTGAAGATTAAGAGATAATTCATACAAAGCACTTGGCAGATGCTGGCTTATACTAAGTGGCAGCAATTAAATGTAATTATGATGTTATTATAGACATATCTAATGTTTATACATCTGTGTAAACTACTGTTCACAAAGCACTTCCATATGCATAATCTCTTGTACTCCTTATTGTCTCCACTTTTTTTTATAGGTGAGGAAACAGGTTCGGAAGAATTAGATGGTTAGCTCAAGGCCCCACAGCTTGTAAGGAACAAAGAAACCCAAGAGCTCATATCTCCTTAACCCAAATGCAATGAGCCTTCTAGACTATACAGTCTAGGTCTAGAAGGACAGTCTATCTAGTCAATGCTTGTTTGTCTTATGGTGTTAGGGTCCTGCTAGGAACACTGACAGGCAGTAAGTAGATATGTAAGTCAACCCCTGCCTCTGGTGGGGCCAAGCAGGAACACCAGAGACCTGACTTCACCTTTCTTGCTGCCTTTTGGGTATGTATTCAGGAAGAGGCTGGGCTACCCCCTGTTGGCAATGCTCCAAGTCCTAAGTTCCTCTGAATGTGACCTCAGCATTGGGACCTGTGAGGCAGGTCAGCCTGCCCATAGGTGTGTGGCTCCTGCCAGCCCACAGTGCTGTGGCCTGTGAGGAATGGCTCCTAACTGAAAGGAGAGATTTCCTTCTTATTAGCCAGGGGTCTGGACATAGCTTGAAGTGAGTCTTGGTTGTAGCTGGGTGGGCAAGAGACAAAGGGACATGGAGGTGCATTAAAGCAGAAGCCCCAGAGACCAGAAATGGCATTGGAGATGGCAATGGAGATGTAGGGAGAGATGGAAGGCTGTATAAGCTGGAACACTGGGAGAGGGTGCTGTGAGATGGGAAGGAGAAGGCATAAGAGGAGAGAGGCCTGAGTACAGAGATAGGACAGTGAAGAGAGGCCGGAAGGAGGAAGAGTTGACCTTGGGGAAAGTGGGACAATGTGGCCAGAAGGATTTTAAAGGCTACTGACCTCAGGTGGGCTCTTCAGGAAGTGTCCTTTCTACCCTGCAGTAGTCAAAAATTTCAAGCCAACTTTGCTTTTTACACCGAAGTACAAAACTCAGACTATTGTATCTCAACAGAGAAATAAGAAGATCCTGTATTTTTGTTGCTTACTACATGGCAAACCCTAACCATTGTCCTCTAGCCAGTAAAAATAATGACTTTTTAGTTATCCCTCAGATCTCTTTGGATAAGTCTATGAACTCATCTAGCCTAAATATGGCCCTGAGGTGGAGGAGGACCACCATGTAAACCCCTTCCTTTGTGATAAGTTTTAAGCCCATTGTCAGGTTGGCAGGAGTAATCTGATTCTAGCGTCACATATACTGAGCACTGCAAAGAGGCTTAATCTTAAGAATAAGACATCTTTGATGCCCAGGAAAGCACATGGGTGGTTCCATTGCTGCTGCTAAAATAGGCTTTGGTGAGAGAAGCTGCTGCCAGGCTAGCCACAGGGGAGGAGGAAAGATCCCCATGGCTTCAGAAGAGCCTCCTCTCCCACATGCACACGCCCAGTTTGCCTGAGGCCCAGTCAAAACAGATACTTTCTGCCCACAGCCAGCACCACAGACCTATGGCCTGGATCTGACAGCCTGGTTTTATGAGCTCAGATCACCAAGACATTGAGAATGAGAAAGAGGTTCCTCAGGAGGGCACTTACCTAATGTACAGGCAGGATGAGCAAGTGGCTGTTAGGAGGTGTATGGAGTACCCAATCAGCAGGACAGGAACCTTTTATAGCAGATTTAATGGAGGCTAGTGTTTTAGATAGGCCATCCCCACCCCATGGGAAGACTTGATTCATCCAAGCCTCAGCTGAGCCCAGCCCAGCCTAGCCCCACTTCCCTTTTTGTCTGTTTTACCTGCTGACAAGTGGCTGTCTTAGATTAATGAGAAGGCTCTCTTACCATACTGGGTGTCCTCCCTGAGTCCCTCTCTGGGTCAGTCTCCTCATGTTAGGGAAGCTCCTTTGTGATGTGATGGGCTCAGCAGTGTTTCACAGGTTGGGGCTCCTGGTGAACATTCTTCATCTCCATGTGACTGCAAAGTCATAGGACTCCTTTTATTTTTATTTTTTAAAATACAAACATTTAAAAACATTTCCATCTATTGAGGGTAATCCTTTCCAAAGTGGTCACTTTGGGAAGTTACACATGTTTTTCTGGCGATGTTGCCATTACATTGAACATTCCTCAAATTCTTGTTTTGGGATTGCTTTTCAAAAAGCCAAATTTATGAGACATGCAAGAAATTAAATTTCATTTCTTTTTGGTTGGGCCTCATTTCTGATTAAAACAAAAAAGGTTAATAGCTGTCTGCAGCCCCCATCCTATGGGTAGGCAACATTTTACAGCTGATGGGAGAAGAAACTTAAGATAATTAAATGCAACCCCTTCATTGCAAAGACAGAGAAGTCAACTGGTCAACCAATCTGCAAATATTTATGGAGAGCCAACTCCATTTCAGACAATGGACTAGGTTTGAGGGAAACAATGTGGAACAGGATGCCAGAAGTTTCTACTCTTACAGAGGTTGTAACCTGGAAGTTCCAGGAGAAAGTGCCTAAGAGGTTAACAGCCTTGGCAATTACTGCTTGCTTTGCTTCGATTTGACAACATTTTCATTACCACTTCATTTTGTTGGATCCTCACAACTAAACCCCTTTTATAAATGAAGACACTGAAAACCGTGGAGAAGCAGCCACTCTGAAGAAGGGATGGGTGCCCCAGAGCCCTCAATTTCTAGCCACAGTTTCCTTATATTACAATGTGGTAGTTTACAAATATCAAATTTGTTCTCTGTGGATGAAGAACAACCATCCTTGAGGGTGCTGAGAAGGAAGCATTTTGAGCTCTAAAGCCAAGTCCCAAAGGGGCTCCTAACATATATTTTTGCAGAAAGTATATGTAACTTCTGGAAAAGCATCTTCACAGTCCTCACTTACTTGTCTGCATGCAGCTCACAGGAAAGGCAATGACAGGAAGGAAAGGTTAAGGGCCTTGGCTGCAAAGACTGGCAGAGGGAGGGCAGCCCTACAGTCACAGCACAAGCCCCAGAAAGGGACACAGATCACAGGATGAGATTCAGCCTGAAGGAGGGGCTGTCTGCATGGAGAGGGGCTGTTTCCAGTCCTTGGTGGGATACTCCATCTGAGAGGTTGCTATGGTAACTGGTCAGTTCAGAGAAGGCCAGTGTGAGTGGGGGAGTTTGCGAAACAAGAGGGTGTCCTGCAGATTAGAACTTCCTGCTGTGAGTGATGTGCTAAGCCTTATCTGAAGGGGCTTTGAACCTCTAGAAAGGTTTGGAAACTAAGAGAAAGTAAGTTTGGGAACTAACAAGCCAGATGCTTTATCTATGAGTAGGTATCATTACGTCCAATTTACTGATGAAGAAACTGAGGTACAAAGAGGTTAAGTGAACTACTCAAGGTCACATACCTAGAAAGTAGTAATGTTAAATTTGAACTCAAGTCTGCCTGTCTTCAAAGCCTGTGTCTTTCCATGGAGTAGGACTGAGCCTGGGGAGGTGGCTGGTGTGGGCAGGTGGGGTGGTGAGGGCATGGAGGGATGGGACTAATAGTCTCTGAGAATGTAAAAGTGTTAGCTTGTGAAGTTTGTGAAGAGTTATTACAAATGAATGCCTTTACTTAGTAGTCACATCCTCTAGATCTCCTGGAGGCAGAGAGAGGCCAGGGATCTTGTCTGAAGTTGAATCAAACTCTTACCCTATTCATTTTGCCTTGGAATAAACAGGACTATCTCAACAAAACAAGCTCAGTTTTGCACTTTGATTCCTTCATACATACTCACTCAGAAATTGTTGCTGATGTTCACTTCATTTATTTCTATGAGTAGCTAACAGCCCATCTTCACTATACTTAGTGAGCTACAAATGAAGAATAAAGATTCTGCTTCCTAGGGAATCAGTCTAGTTGGGAGAACAGGACATAAACCCTAAAGAGTTATTTAATAATGGAAGACAAGGTGTTGTAAAATGTAAATCTGTAAAACCAGTCACCTTTACTTGTACCCTGAAGCACAAAATGGTGACATGGGACAGGGGCCTGGGAGTAGGGAATGATTGGAGAGTGGCTATTTGAATTACCCCCCCAAAAAAGCGGAAGGTGGAAAAATTCCATAATCTTGGGTTCCACCCTCAGAAAAGAACAAAAACAGGTCTGAAGCCAGAGAGCTGTTGCCTGCAGCATCACGTGTGGTGAGAGAAGTCACTTGTCCATGCATTGCCTACACATCCTAACTAAGGGACAGGGTAAGGGAACAGCTATCAGAGGGAAGAATAACAGTGGACAGTTCTGGGCCTCCTTATTCTGTCTCTTCCCCAAATGTGGTCGCTCCTCCTGAGCCCACCCCATCTGGGCCCTGGAACTCAGATGCTCAAGTTCAACCCCGGATATGGATTAGGCAGATACCAGGGTCATCCTTGTTGACATGGTTTGCAGTGACTTAGTATCTATTACACATTTAGGGCTTAATCCCTTACCGACAGGTGGCATTGGTCATGCTGTGTCTCTGAGTCCTTGAAGACAGTGAGCATGTGACTAATAATGTCATTACCATTAGCCAGGAAAGCTGGAAGTTGTCATTTGTAAGGGAGTCTGAATTTCTCAGAGCTAGCTGTTCAACCCAAAGGCAGAGCTCCTAAAAGAAGCAAACCAGAAGGTTCCAACCTCTTTCCTATTGAGAAAAAGGAGAAATATCATGGGAGGTGGTGGGGGGGGGGTGTTTCTTCCATTTTCTGCCTTTTCAGTGTTCAGTAGTATGCAGAGTCCTGGTGGCACCAAAGGTTTGTTGATTTAAATGTAATGGAAATAGACAAGAAACTTCCTAGCATGTCTTTACTCCTGTGATAATCCCTGATCAAAATTTGGACCTCCTTAGAGATCAGAAAACTCCCTTTCCCTGCTGATAAGCTTGCAGGGCACTGGCTTCTGAGCAGTGGGCCTGGTCACCAGACACATCCACATGGGACTCTAATTCAGAAGTGAGGGGAGTGAGGAAGTAGGTGCACAGAGAGAAGGCTGTGGTAGAGTGAGGCCTTTCTATCTGAAGGTGATGCAAGACAGTGGAGTCTGTCTTGGAATAATCTTGTAGCCTGATTTGGGCTTTTGTTCTTGTGTGGCAGCCTCTAAATTCAACCCTCTGGTCCTAAAGTGGTTTTACTTGCTTTCAGGTAGGTCTTCCAGTCAATGGGTCTGTGCAACACCATTCTATCATATTCCGTTGAAATATTCCATCAAATATTTTCTTTAACAGGTGGGGGATTTTTCCTCCTTCGTTAACCATGTTTAAAGAGTGTAGGATATAATACCCTAAATTTAATCAGGAAATATAAAATAAATGTAGTACCAGGAATATTTATGTAATAGAATTCCATATAGTAGTGAAAGTGGCAAACTGTTATATATAATAACATGCGTGACTCTCACAAACATAAATTCCAACAAAAAAATCCAGTCTCAAAATCTACATAGTATGAGTCCATTTATAGAAAATTAAATCAACAGCAAAACCAAACCATGGTGTTACACATGAGAATATTAACTTTGGACAGTCATGAGCCTAGCTTCTGGAATGCTGATAATGTGCTGTTTCTTGATCTGGGTGGTGGATACATTAGTGCATTACTTTGTGAAAATTCTTACATTAATGATTTGTGCACTTTTCTGTATGTATTTTACACTTCAATAAAAAGTTTTTTCCCTTGTGAAAAAAAAATTTGGACCTGCCATTTCCATGAAACCCCAGCTCATGCTGCCTTCTTCCTGCCTGCCAAGACTTCCTCCTGCCTTGAATGAGTTCTTCTTCTCCTCCATGCAAATGGCCTCAATCCCTTCCAAACGATACAAATGCCACTAATTCTCTGATATATACCCATATTATCCCAACCATGTGAGATCCCTTCTAGACTGGGCCTCTCTTTGAGGACAAGGCTGGTTTACAAGTACATGTGTACTGATTTGATATGAAAGCCTGGTCCATTCTTCCGGAGAACAGTTTTCCCCTGCAACTGTGAGAACTGGTTTATATGTCACACACACCATGCCTGGCCTCATATTCCATCCCATTAAAGCTACTGGGCTTCATCTTTGCACTCATGGGGATAGTGTGGGAAGGCTCAGCATTTAAGGCTGCAGGAGATCCCAGAACCAAACTGGGGCAAAGCTCCAAGGCACCTCTCACTAGAATGAACTGGATTTGTGCTGCTGTCCCTACAAACCCCACAAACCTGCCTGTGCTGTCCAATGGGGTTGGTCAGCTTTGAACTATTTCCTTCTTCATTGATCAAAGTGCCTACCCTTCCCAGGAAGGTAGCCAGGATTAAAAGTGAGCACAGGGGATGACAAAGGGACAACTAGGGTGTACAAAGGTGAAACCCATTAGGAGTGAGTTTTGGGGCCTGGAAATACAGTACTAATTTAATGGGAAGAGGCTGAAGTGTGGTGTGCTGTGGACTTGAGGTCATTCTAAGGCCACTGGTTATTGGCAAATGTCACATTCATTGTCTTCAGACCACTGTGATGTTAGGAAGACAAAAAAGCACACAGGCATGTTCTTATCTCTGAGAGTGTAAAGGACTAGCACAGCCCCACCGCATTACTGGTTCCCTGGCTTCATGTGTTTGCTGAGTCCCTGTTTCCTTATCTATAAACTAGTGACAACCTCTGTTTGTGTCACTTGGTTATTATGAGTTAAGAATATACACCCAGTGTAGAAGTGCC